GGGCGCCGACGCGCCGCTGGCCTTGGGCCTCCGACCCGCTGTGCCCTGGCGGGGCGGCCGGCGAAAGGTGTGCCGACCGGACCCTACGCGCCCACCCCGCTGCGGGGATGTGGACTTTTGAGGCAACTGTTGAAGCTCGGCTAGATACCGGGACGGGGTGAATGTGCGGTTTCCAGGTGTCTGCACCGAAATTCAGAGCACACAAGTTATCTGAGCTGAAATATGGACACCTACCAGACCCCCCCCCCCAACCCCGCGCTTGTTAATTTAGGTTTGGGATCAAGGCAGCATAATCGCCACAGCTGCTCAGATGCCAGAGTGCTGAAAAGTCCCCATTTTTGTTAGTAACCATCTTGGGTCTAGCCGGAAAACTGTTTGCCGGAAATGGGTGCTAACAGTAAATAAAGCCAATTCATTAGTTGGTTCTTTGGTTCCGCCCCAAATGAGGACCAACAGTAAAATCACACACTGATTAAGAAAAGTAGCGTTCTCAGGTGGCTAAGTATTTGCGATATCAAATTATTTCCTGCTTGAAGGATGAAAGTGGTATTTTCCCCTGATACGCCCCCCAATACTGAATGTGAGAATTAGCACACATCAGGAAGTAATTCCAGGTGTTTGAATTAAGGTAACAAATATTACTTCCAGCCTCGATTTTAGGGAAAGGAAAGTTGAAAGTCACAATTTTGTTAGTGTTCTTTGGCATGACCTAATCTCTGAGGACAAGAATGGATCCTTCGGTTGTATAAGGATGAACTAGCCACTTAGACCACAGCCCCTTTTATGCTGTCTGCATTAAGGGGGAACCCTGTAGTTAAACTTGGGGTTTCTCTGGTGCTGATTGAAAAGTCTATATTGGTCTCTTACAAATCTTGCAGTTTAATAATTCTTGCAAATCTATTTCCTTTGCGTTGAATAAGTTACCAGGTTGGGGAGACTGCTTGGTGATCTGAGCAAAGAGTTTAAAAGCTGGAAGGCCAGGGAGGGACTCCAGGGAAAGGGATGGAAGGATAGGGCCGAATTTGAGATGACCAAAAATGAGCAACTATGAAAAAGAAATTCACCATAAAATAGGTTTTCTGGTTTTTTTTTGTAAAACCAAATTTTTGAATAAAAAAAATATGTGGAAGTTTAGTGGCTTTTTTTTTTTGCATGGTTTTTAAAATTGAGTATCAGTATAGGTCATGGCATGAATTTTACCAAAATGAAATTGATTAGCCCAAATTCAGTTAGAAAATAGAGTTAGCTTATTTAGAAAAAGTATTGTTACTGGAAACTTTTGTTGTGGGTGACAGGGTGATTGTGACTGTAAAGGAGTTGGCATGGGAGTCTTATAAGGTAATAGAATAGTTCTGTGTCCTGATCTTGATGGTTACATGAGTGTACATGTACATGCTAAGTTATCATAGAACCCTATATATCTTGTGCCAATGTCAGATTCCTGGTTTTGAAATTATACTCCAAGTATATAAGATGTAATCATTGGGGGCAACTGAATGAGGTTATATGGAACCTGTACTGTCTTTGCAATTTCCTATAAGTCTGTAATAATTTCAAAATAAAAATAGTAATTAGGGCCTCCCTGGTGGCATAGGGGTTAAGTCT